AAATTATAAATTCCTTTTCTAGTGTAATGTTAAGTTGTATAGATTATTAATGCATGTCCAATGAATATTACCCTGGTTTTGAGATAAATCTGCTTAGATTTTATTGGTGACATGTTAGATTAGTGGTTGCATTAAATAACTAAATTCCTATTGTGGTTATTAATTGAAATTGTCTTTAAGCAGAAAGTTATTTGTGACTATAAGCATTGTGCTTAGAGAATGTATGTGTTTTTATCTGTCAGTATGGGAGGACATAAACTGTTTGCATCATTAAAAAAAAAAACAAAAAAAAAAACTGAACCTCAAAAAGATTACATAATGAGCCCAAAGTCACAGAACTGGTAGATGTTAAAATTGAGACTAGAACCCAGGACTATAAAGAACTAAAACTTGTGCCATATACTTTTCATATATTTTTTGCTACCTGTAACTTCTAACACTGAATATATTATTAAAGTAGTATCATTCACACAACAAACCTGAGTGCTTACTACATATCTTTGATATAGCTGATAGCTGTTTGTTTGGGGGCTTATTTGTTTGTGTTCGTTTTCTTTCTCCCTCCCTCCCTCCCCCTCTCTCTCTCTCTTTCTTTTTCTTTATCAGGGATTGAACCCAGGGGCACTTAAACACTGAGCCACATCCCCAGCTCTTCATATTTTTATTTTGAGACAGGGTCTCACTAAGTGTCTTAGGACCTCACTAAATTGCTGAAGCTGGCTTTGAACTTTTTGAACTTTCAATCAATCCTCCTGCCTCAGTCTTCAGAGCCCTAGGATTATAGGCTTGTGCCATCACACCCGGCTAGATAAACTTTTAACAGTCACTTCCTCTACTATTTCTACAACTGGAAAGCTGCACAGTATGCATTTTTTTCTTTACTTCCTCTCATTAAATGTCAAATTTAATTACATTACGATTATTATCAGGTAGTTCTTCAGCCACAGCCATTTCCTGCCTCAGTTCCTGTTCATTACTCAGAATGAAGTCCAATAAATTTTTTTTCTTATTGCTTTAAAGCTATCTGTTTTAGGATATAGTGAGTTATTCTCAACTGAAAAAACTCACTTCTATTGTGTCATTTTCACTATTTATATAAGATTTTAACAAGCCGGACAAAAAATGCAGAAGGCTAAATGTCATTTAATAGTTTCGAATTCAGTCATATGATTCCTGACATCAAGTGATGTTTCACATTTACAAATTCAATGCAAGTAGTTTTCTCAAATTTTCAAGAGCAGGCCCAATTGAAAACATTCTATCCCACAAGCAGGTCTCAAACTAGGCTTAAGAAGATAAGTCAACATATATGCAAAAGAGAGTTTGCAATATCAACTCTATTTGGCTACAAAATAGGTAAAGAGGTGAAGGGATGACAACAGTCACTTTGAGATTCCTCTTATATCAACCATCACAAAATATGTCCCACAAATTAAGTGCAAATGCCTCTAGTAGCCAGGCATTGTGGTGTACATCTGTAATCCCAACTACTCAGAAGACTGAGGCAGAAGGATTATAATCTGAGGCCAGCCTGGGTAACTTAGACCTTTTTCAAAATTAAAAAAATAAATAAAAAAGGCTAGGCAAGTAGCTCAGAGAAGGCTCTTGGGTTCATTCCTTAGTGTTCATTCCTTAGTCCTGGGGGAGAGGGGACCCTATGGTAGTGTTTTGTTTTGTTAGTTGTCTTTTACAGAGCGAACAGAATATCTCAATGAATAATAAAACAATTGCTCTGGGGACATGTTTGGAAATAAGAGATTTAATTGGCTTTTGGAAAATAAGCATTGAAAGACAGATAGTAAACAAAAATGTAGAAAAAGTATCTATAGTTTTAGTATTTAAATATGCAATTTGCAACTACCAAAATTGGGTAATATTAACTTTGCCCAGTCACATTTACATATAATTACTATTTAAAGTTGGTCTTCTCAACTCTTTTTTATATGAAGCCACAATTACTTACCATTCCTTCAATAATCTATATCCCTATTCTGAGACTCTACCTTCTCTTGTTCTATCTGTATTGAACAATTTCTTTTCCCATTTATGAAAACAACCTTTAAACCAAGCTCCAATGGTAGCTCCTCCCTGAACCTCCCAACCCAATCTTTCTTAAAATTCTTATTTTTTCTTTATTTTTATTTTGTTTATTATGTGTACTTTAATTTTATTTAATGCTTAATATCCCCTTTGAAGTATCATCTTCTCCACTAAACAGATAAGGAGAATGAGGCTGAAAGATACTTGGTATAATGTTCAAAACTACAAAGCCCAACAGGTATTCAAACTCTAGTTTATACTTTAACTATATTCTCTTTCCATAAAACCACCAATTCTGAATTACTCTCTTATAGTATATATTGTACTGTATGATGATCACTTGTTTAAATATCTATCTTCCCACTAAATGATGCTCCTCAAAGACAGGGAAGGTGACTAGATCCTGTTATCTTAAGCAACACTCAACAGTGCCTATTATAAAATGATTTCAAACTGTTATAAAATTGGTCCAATACTGGGTTCAGTTCATGGTTTTGCAGCATGGTTTCCCACTGATTAGTCTCCTTCTAACAGGTCTCTAAGAAGCCACTGTACTGTGTTGGTAAAGCATAACCGCTTGGAATCAGATTGGTTAGATGTGAATCCACTGACCAACTGGCACCAAAATCTTAAAAAAAAAATGAGTTAACCTAAATCTTGGCTAACTAATCTAAAAACAGAAAGGAAATCATGGTAATCATGGTACCTATCTCATAGGATAGGGATTAAATGAGATAATAATTAGGTAGTCCCAACCATTTTCTGATCCTCATTTTTTCAACATGCCACCATAAATTCTCTTTGGCTCAGTCTAACCACACTTTTGTCATTACAAATTCCTTGCTTTTTTGTTGGGGGAAGGCTGGGTGGGGTGCTGGGGTATCAAATCAGGACCACATGCCAAATCACATCGCCAGCCCAAGTTCCTTGCAATTATGCATTTAATGGACTAACCAAAAAGGTCTGTGGTTTAAAACTTAATCAGGATACCTTTTTTATTTTTAGAGCCAACCATCCAGTGCCAATTTGGGACTGACTCCTGAGGCCTAAGTATTCAAGAGTGCCCCCATTGTACACTATATTTGCTTTGCTTACCACATTTTCATGCTCTGCCAGAAAGCGGTAAAAATCAGAAGACAAAAACACTCCTAACATTTAAATTAATACTATCTGAAGCATACAAACAACTTCCCTGCGTAGGAGGTAGGCTTTTCCAGAGCAAAACATTTTCCAGGAACCACCTTGTTTCTACTCCCAGTCCTCTAGATTCCTTTCCTCTGGAATCGGCAGGCTGAGCCACTATCGACAAGTCATATCAATTTCCTTCTCTTAAAATTAGTAGTCTGTACCCCAAATCCAAGTAAGGATTTCAAACTGTTGTTTTATGGCTCTTTAGGTTAAAAGTCCATAGTCTTCAAATTCTCAGAATTTCTCTTCCAACATTAAAAACGTTGTGGAAAAAGTCCGGTTTTGGAAAAAACTAATTTTACAAAAATGTCTAAGATCAAGTACTAAGAATATTGCTAAAGCGGGAGCGGTGGGGGGGGGGGGCATTTAAAAATGTTGGTAAAAGCAAATCAAAAACAATAAAAGTATCTCACCTAATCTCAAGGTAAGCAGAATATACCATTAACAAGGAAAGCAAATGTAATATCTCTAATACATTTACCATGAATTTTAAGATTACTTGGCATGTTAATTACATATTGAGATTACTAAACTGTTCCACACTCTTCTTCCCGGGTTAGTGTATGCTCGTATAAAGCAGCTCCTTGGTTCTGCCAGGCTAAAAATAAAATGGGTAACAGAATGATCCCTGAAGTTCTACAAGATGTGCTGAGTTAGAAAGCCATGACTCAAGAACAATACTAGAACTCCAGCTGTCAACATTAGGCAAATAAAAACAGAACAAGGTGAAGCATGCTGATGGACCACGGTATTGTTTCCAGAAGGGAAATATCCCTCGAGGCCTTTGCATAGGATTTCAGTACCCGCTCCGCAGTCAATGTTGGGATCAGAAAACTTAACTGTCGCCTGCTCAGCTGGTATTCTGCAGCAACCCTCCTTCTCCGCCAGCAATCAGCGCGCTGAGCCGCCCTCTCCCCCGAACCCGCCCCCCATTCCCGGCCACTAGCTGACCTATCCAGCCCGCTCAGTCTGGGCAGCCCGAAACCCCTGCACACACTCCTAGGATACGACGACACCCCGCCACCCCCTGCACAGCGCCAAAGGAAGGAAGTGAAGGAGGGGATCCTGAGGAGGGAGGCGAGGGGCGGGAGGCGGCGCTGAGCTTCGGCCCGACACCTTCAAGCCTTGAGAACCGCACGGGCTCGGGAAGAGGAAACCTGAGCTTGTGCCACCCGCCAAATGATGCGAGGGGGCCGCGGCTGACCCGAACCCGCAGGTGCAGGAGACTGTCGAGGAAGACACCGGCGGCGAAGGGCGACGCGTTGACCCCGGAGCCCCTACATCCATCCCGCGGGCCGCTCTCCTCCCTCGTCCAGATCCATCCTCGGGATTCTGTCAGAAGCCGACTACCTCCACACCGCCCGCCCAAGCGTGGAGGTGGTGCGGTTCTTACCGTAGGAGCGGGCGTCGCGCCGCTAGGAGGCGGCTGGGGTGCGCTGGGGAGACACCGAGGCGAGCGCTGCCGCCGCCGCCGCCGCCGGAGCCCGAGGAGCCACAGCTAGGCTACGGGCGGGCGCGCTGCCTCCAGAGCGTCGCCCCACCCCCTCTCCCGCAGGATTTTGCGCCGGAGCCTGCAGTGTCCCCGCGCCGAGACTGGGAGGGCCTAGGAGGCGGGGCCCCAGCCGGGGCGGGGCCGAGTGCTGCTGGCTTGATTGGCATGTGTGCGCCCAATGAGACTACGAAAAAAACTCCAGGCTGAGCTAAGACTGACTTTCCTCCCAACCCGTAGCAGTAAGAGGCGGGTCCAGTGGGTTCTTTCCTTACCGCCTCTTTGTCGAACTCGAAAGTAAGGAAAGGTCGGTTGGTTTACACTGACGGCTAAATGGTCCAATTACCACAGGGAAACGGGTCTCTGCATCAGATTGGCGTCCCCTCTACCTATAGGGTAGGCCCAGGGGCGGTGAGAACCAGCTCCGGATGTGGGCGCGGCCTGAGGTAGAACTGAGAAAACCTCTACCGCGGCGGTTTAGAGAGGCAGAACTGAACCTCTTTCTGAATTATCATGTGACGGGTTCTGAGTTTAATGGGGGGGAAAGTGTGGAAAAGGACAAGAATCCAAACTGGCGAATTTACTGATCTTCGCGGCCCTCTCCGCTCTCCGGCCAGCGGCGCTGCCAGGTGAGTCGGAGCATGGCCCCCGCCCCCACCGTGCTGCGGTTCTGGACGCCCAATGTTCTGGGCTGCGCCGCCGACCTCCATTCCGTCGCACTCGCGGACTCAAATGCGCACCACACCTGCTTGGCATCAGGGCTTTGTAGTGCATCATGCAAAAACTAAGTTAAATTTCAAAATGTGCTGGGCCCAAAGCCTAGAATGGGGGAGTTCAGATACGGCTGCACAAACCTATGGTCGGTGTCCACAGAGGAAGGACCAGGAGGGCTTAGTTCCTTAAGTTCTAGGACGAAGTGGACCCGAATATCAACTAAGTTGTAAGCAGAATGCTGTTCCTCTGAAAGATGGCCAGGTTGGCCAAGAATGTTACAACACGAGCCTTTCGAAAGCAACTTAATATGATAGAAATTTGTGGGTTCATTAAGCCAAACTGTCTTTGAGATGAGGCAGGTTCATTTGAAAAAGTATTAGGAGTGGCAAGAGAAGGGAAATGAGCATGGTATAGAAAACACCATAGAAGATTCCGCGCACAGCTGGTAGAGACGCAGGTAATGTAGTCGTGGCCCTTTAGATTAACCATATGTGGTCTAGTCTGAAGGTTTCAACAGTGGATAAGGAATCATTTGAGAAATATTTAACTATCTTACAGATACTAGAAATAACCACATTAAGTGGAAACTATGTTAAGCAAATTTTGGAGTGCACACTTATCCATTGAGAAGAAAGGAAAATAGCAAGGAAATATGGCTGATTAGATTAATGAAGATGTAAATGTCAAGCTGGGGTCCTGTGTCACTGATGTAGGTGAGCATACACAATCCTTTTTTTTTTTTTTTAATTTCTTTTTTAGTTGCAGATGGACACAATATCTTTATTTTATTTATTTTTATGTGGTGCTGAGGATTGAACCCAGTGCCTCATACATGCTAGCAAGCACTCCTCCCCTGAGCCACAACCCCAGCTCAAGCATACACAATATTTCAAGCATCATTTATCAATAGGGTGCATCCACTATTGAGAATATTTCACTGAAAATGCATATGAACTTTGTTGTATCTCAGATTATAAAGCTTTGTAGCCACAGTAAGATTTTGCCCTTGATGTCCTTTCACTTCCAGTTCTTAAGTTTATTGGGTGAGTACAGTGCTCTTCCAATGATCAGTAGCTACTCAGTCCTTTATGGGGAGGGAGGGGGACATTATGGCAAATGGGAAAGTTACATTTAAACAAGTATATTATCATAAACCTATTCTTAGGTTCACAAAAATGGCCAGATAGATTGGAGATCAAGATTAAGCAAACAGTTTACACAATGAAATCTATCCATAGTTATTAATCAGTCTACAGATTTCCACCTTCCAAATTCAGTCTCACTTTCCATTATATGGCAGCTTCTGGGAAGGGAGACCAGCATAGAAAATGCCTTCCTGGAAACAAGCACACTGCAGTAGGAAGCATTTGCAAACTAAATAAACAAGTGCAAGTAGATGAGTATATCTGGGGAAAGGTGAGTTAGGACACTCCTACCCATTGAAGTAAAAGAGTTGTTGCTGGGTGCTACAGTGCATACTTGTAATCCCAGCAGTTTGGGAGGGTGAAGCAGGAGGACAGCAACATCAAATGCCAGCCTCAGCAATTTAGCAAGTCCCTAAGCAATTCTGGGAGACCCTGTCTCCAATAAAATACAAAAAGAGGCTGGGGATGTGGCTCAGTGGTTAAGCACCCCTGGGTTCAATTCCTGGTGCCAAAAAAAAAAAAAAAAAGTTGTATACTCTCTTGCTCCATTATTGCCACCCTATTTAAAGTTCTGTTTAAAGTAGAGATGTTGCAGGGTACATCAAAGTTTGCTCTAAAATATAATTGAGCACACTAATCTAGGGTATTTGGTCCATCTGGCCAATTTCTTTACCTCTTACTTGTTTCTTCCTGCACCTTTATTCCTACTCCCATCACCCATGCTTTTGTTCCATTCCCTACTACTTTCTGATGTTTCCATCAGGTCTTCTCATATTTAAGCTATCATTTCCCAGTGGCTTATATCCCCCAGTTTAGTCATACTTAGAATTCTCCTTTCCTAAAACTTTTTCCTGTCCCTTTCTCAGTCTCATGTCTTATTTTTCATTTTCTCTTTTCCAAATAGCTCAAGGGAATAAAATATTCTCAACTGTTGCCATTTCTTTATCTTCTGTTAACTCCTCACCCAACTGCATACAGTCTGTCTTCTGATTTCTCATTCATTACTTACCCCTAGTCCAAATATTTGCAAGGTTGATATATAAAATCTTAAACAAATACAGAATCACACTTTAAACCTATATGTGAATATGAAATATAATGTTTATATGTAGGGTGTAAGTTAATGAATTCTCAATCAAAATTCCAGGTTATTAAGCATTAGTGATTTTAGCATTGAAAAATGAAAGGGAAATAGAAAATATTCTGGAAGCTGGGCATGGTGGCACACACATGTAGTACCTGCTTAAAAAAAAAAAATTAAAAAACAGGTACTGAGTCTTCCACGTACTAGAGTATATCCCAGAGCAATAATAGTAAGTCATGTAGTTTTAGTGTAAAATAAAAAAAATGGATCAGATACAAGCAGCAACTCTAATTATAATTCCCCATCAAGTAATTACAAAACATCTAAAGTTTTTAAGTTGCCCCTTTTAATAAGAAAATACCTAAGGGTTTAAAAATATAAAATTCATAGATTAAACTACATAAAAATCCAATGATATACCTTTCATATTGTTTAATCTAGTGACCTATTTACAATCTTAATTCTACTTGATGTTCTTAAAATACTTACTAACCATTTTGTCTTTTATAAACTCAGCTGGCCAGTTGGTGGTGCATGCCTGTAATCCCAAGAGCTTGGGAGGCGGAAACAGGAGGATCATGAGTTCAAAGCCAGCCTCAGCAATGGCAAGGTGCTAAGCAACTCAGCGTGACCCCCTCTAAATAAAATATAAAATAGGGCTGAGGATGTGGCTCAGTGGTCGAGTCCCCTGAATTCAGTCCCCGGTACCCATAAAAAAACAAAACAAAACAAAATGTTACCTCCCTTTTCACCACTTTGGTTTTAAATGTTTTATCTTAGTACCCCTTGAAATTGAATGAAAAACTGTAGGTTTTCAAATTTTAGTAATGAGATATAAGAAATGATGGATGTATATCAATGATTCTCCAAGAAGTTTTGAAATGAAAAATAGAACATTTTCAAAATTAGGAAGTCTTTGAGTAGCAAAAAGTCAACCTTGTTTATTAAGAATGAAAGTAAGCCTGAGGCTGTATCTCAATGGCAGAGAGCTTACCTAGCATGCCTGAGGCACTAGGTTCAATCCTCAGCACCACATAAAAATAAACAAATAAAGACATTCTGTCCATCTACAACTACAAAAAAAAAAAAATTTAAAATTTAAAAAAAAAAAAAAGAATGGAAGTAGTTGGTTTCTTTTCCTGGCATCAAAACCTTGACTTTTTTTTTCTCCTCTCCTCTCAGGGCATATTTTCCTTTTTTCAACCCTGCAACAGCCTCTTTAAACTGTTTAAATGAGAATGTCCTTGGCTCAGAGAGTACTGCTTACCTGGCTCTTCACCTTACTCTTCTTGATCATGTTGGTGTTGAAACTGGATGAGAAGGCACCTTGGAACTGGTTCCTCATATTTATTCCTGTCTGGATATTTGACACTATCCTCCTTGTCATGTTGATTGTGAAAATGGCTGGGCGCTGTAAGTCTGGCTTTGACCCTCGACATGGATCACACAATATTAAAAAAAAAGCCTGGTACCTCATTGCGATGTTACTTAAATTAGCCTTCTGCCTGGCACTCTGTGCTAAACTGGAACAGTTTACTACAATGAATCTGTCTTATGTTTTTATTCCCTTATGGGCCTTACTGGCTGGGGCTTTAACAGAACTTGGATATAATGTCTTTTTTGTGAGAGACTGACTTCTAAGAACATCATCTCATTTCTATTGCTGTTCAACAACCTTTAAAGTGTTCTGAATCTTTGCAAGCTTCAATACCAGAGAACTGAGGGAAAATACCAAATGTAATTTTGTACTGCTTCTATAAAACAGGATTGATGAATCATGGACTTCTAGTTAACCCAAAACTGAAGTATTCAATATTTGAGTTGTTGATATCCTTATTATCACTATGTAAATAAAGTTTGTTTTTGACCTCATTTTTCCAAATGACTCTTGAATAAACTGTAAATACAGAGCTGGGGTTATAGCTCAGTGATAGAGCATTTGCCTAGCACATGTAAGGCACTGGGTTCAATCCTTAGAGCCACATAAAAATAAATAAAGGTATTGTGTCCATCTACAACTAAAAAAAAAAAATGTAAATACAGATCTTTTAATCTGTATCTTTGGATAGAAATTTGTCATGGCTCTGATATGACCAAACTAAATGGTATTTATGCATTTAAATTATGAAAGAAAAAAGTGACTCAAGTGAATAGGGGTGACACTTCATGTTTATATTCAAAAAGAATCTTGAGGGCTGGGGATATGGCTCAAGCGGTAGCACGCTTGCCTGGCATGCGTGCGGCCCGGGTTCAATCCTCAGCACCACATACAAACAAAGATGTGTCCGCCAATAACTAAAAAATAAATAAGAATCTTGAGAGTTTGACAGATTTTTATCTAGGCTAAGTTTACTGTTAACTATACCTTCTGTTTGAGACAAATGAACTAGAGATGGCATGTTAGAACAAAAGTTTGTGTATTCCTAAATTTAGGGAGATCTTACATCCTGGTTCTGTCAGGACAGATCCAGTTTATGCCTATCATCTTGGGGTCCCAGGGAGTTCCTGCCCTGTTCACTTCTAGAAGTGTCTTGGTTTGAGAAATTATATGATCACAGGATACTTAACCAATTCCAATAAAGCAGAGATGGCAGTACTTTAAAATAAATTCCCAAGACACCGAAGCATCTCATAACCTTAAAGCAGGATTACTGTTTCAGTTGAGAGATCCAAATTAAGTAAATTAAAAATAAAGCTTTCATCTCTGTAAGAAACCAGTAAAAAAAAAACTGTCCATGCAAGTATTATCTAATTATAAGCTCTCACAGGGGAAAGAAAAGGCAGCACCACTTAAAATCAGAACAGGAGTCAGCAAAATTTTTCTATAAAGGGCCATATAATTTGTTAGTACCCAACTCAGCCCTTGTGGCAGAGAAAGCAGCCATGGCTGTGTTCCAACAGAACTTCATGGACATGAAATTTAAGTTTCATTTAATTGTCATATATCACAAAATACTATTCTTTTGATTTTTGTTTCAATCACTTAAAATTAGAAAAACTATTCTTGCCCTACAAGCCATATAAAAACATACTGACCCCTAAGCTAAGACAGAAAAGCAGAACTTCTGTATGAAAGGTAGAAAAGGTCTTTTCCTCCTGCAAACAGTTCTAAAAGGAAGGAAGACGTTAGTAGGGATTATACATAAAAGGCAACACAATAACCAATCTGTGTACACATGAGGATCAATCAATTTTAATGGCATCTGAAGGGCTCCCAGAAAATAGAACCCTTCTCTAATTTAATTTGGTATACTGCCACACTAAATGACTTGAAGAATCACAATAAGTTCTCATTGGTGTGTGCCTAAGTAACAATACATTTAAACATTAATGAAAGATACTAAAGATAGAAATTATGCATACAGGTGACAAATGAGATAATAAACAATATTGCAGAGAAAAATGCCTTTTTAGGTTTGTTTCAGAGGATACTTCCTTTATGATACAGGTATTTGCTAATGGCATCTCTAAGATAAATACATTCTGCTTGAAAGAACTTAAAGGCTCTTGCTGAGGTCATTATTTTCCAGGTTAGCAAGGATATGTAAATTATGGACATACAACTTCTCTGGTTTGGGCAAAAGACTTGTTATAATTTCTGAGTAAAAGTAACTTATGAACAAAATAACTTTTTAGAAGACTTGAAAATATGAAAAAAGAGATGTTCAAAGGATCCACAACTTATTCAGTAACATTTCATGAACATAAGGCCCAATATGGCAGGCTCAGCCAGCTGTATGAAACATGAACTGAAATCCTTCAATGGAGAATTTTCAGGCATCAAGAAACACACTTGTACAAAGCTTTAAGAAGTAGAGATCTATCCTTGGGTTACAGCAAAAATTATTAAGCTTACAAATTTGATCTGTTTTCCACTTTGCTTTTTCACAGTGCAGCAATACAAGGAACTGATTGATGTTGACTAATGAACGAACATAAGTGATAGCCAAAGTAGAGGAAATCTTACATTTCATACTAGGGCAGGCAGGCATATCATTAAGCACCTGAGTCATCAAGAAAAGCAGCTGTTTCTCTTTATTGAAAGAAAAATTACTTTTTATCAATCTATTAAGAAGCAAGTCAAAAATGTCAGTTTCTTTTAATGTTGACTAATCGTGTTTGCAGAGAAAATATCACCTGAGCATGAATTATCATTGGTGTCCTTATACTTCATGACTTAAATATTTAAGATGCATAGAAATTACACTGTGTTATAACTAGGGGGTTGGTTGGGAAACACCTACTCATTATAATAATGTAGACATAAAGCCAAGGAAAGAGTTTTAACTCCAAGTCTGTTTCTACAAATAGGTGTTTTATTGAAGGAAGAAAACAAGAGAAGATGTTCATTATCAAATACTAGGTAAAGATAATACAGGGTTAAGAGTTTTATGAGGGAACTTCCTCATGTTTTAATGTTTTACTCATTTCACTTAGTCAATCATACTATACTATACCATAAAGCAGTTTACTACCACTATCATCTATATACTACAATCATAAACTTGTGTTTCACCTATTATCAGGATAGGTAATCTGTGACATGATTTTGTTTTGTTTTGTTTCTGTGGTGCTGGGGATTGAACCCAGGGCCTTATACATGTGAGGCAAGCAACCAACTAAGTTATATCCCCAGACCTATGACATGATTTTGAATTGCCAGCCCTGAGCAAAATAGTGACCAGTAAGTTATTTTTTAATGTCAACCTGCCTCCAACATACCTTGTTTTGACCCACTCATGCAATTTTTTTCTTCCCATATGCCTATCCTCTGCTCAAAATTAGAGGGAGACAGAATTTGAAAAGTGTGAAAGGATTAGGGTAGCCCTACACATGGTTCTTCTATTCTTTCAGCTATTTTCAATACAAGAAGAAGTTAACATTATATAATAGAGTGTCTATAATCAGTCATGCAATGTGCTGTTTTGGGCACATTTGTTTGTTATTTAGCATGTTTTGTCATTTAATTTTCATCACTAGTTAATAGAAAAGGTATTATATTCCCATTTAGAGATGAGGAACACAGACTAAGTGAAGTAATTTTCTCAAGGTTATACAAGTGCATTATTCCTTTCTAATAAACATGTATTGAACCACATCTATAATGCTACAAATGAGTTCAGCCTAGAAACCCAATGAAGTGGCTTTACAGGATTTTCTATGAAAATGTGCCACTTTTATGTCCTTGTCCCATTCCTACAACAATAGATATAGGCTAAATAATGTAGTGTAGGTTACCTTTATGCTTATCCAATTTTTTAATTTTTTTTTATAATAGCAGTAAGGAGAACCACACAGCTTAAACAGAATGCCTTTGATAAACAGATTTTATTTTACCAATTAAGACTTATAATCTGCCTCAGGCTATGAGATAGTGAAGTACTACTTATATGACATTTGCCATTTTAATCATTTTAGGCATCGTTAAAATTTATTTTTAATGTGTGATAACTTTCAATAGATCTCCAGAAAAGCTAGTTGAAGGGAAAATTTGAGGATAAGTTTCACAATGTTTAACTCTCCTACACATATCTCCTCTCTTCAAACTGCCCACTGAGCTTGAACATATAATAGCTAACTTCTCAAATTTTTCCATAAGACTGAGGTACAAAGTAAACATTTGGTTTCTTTCTAGAGCCTGCTTATCTAATTTTTGTGTTCCTTTAAAATTCTAGAATTACATTATAAAGTTAGGGACTGACTTGAAATTCTAGAAACCTACATAATGTATACTCTCTAAGGTTCTTTTGTTCCTTCAAATCATTACAGAATATCAAGTATAATATATATCAGATATTAGAGATAAAAATAAAGAAAATTCCTGATGTCTAGCTCATGATTTAGCCAAAGTCCAACTTGTATCCAGTATGCATGTTAAATGGTGTGTGCAAAGGGGATCAAAAAGCCAAGAGAATTGGTTCTCTATCAGCTACTGTGAGTTAACAGTTGGGATAAAAGCAATAAAAACAACATACAGACGATGTTTAAGTGGAATTTAAAAAAAAAAAAAAAAATCACTGTTGTTTTCCTGATGTTTTCCCAGCAAAGGCAAAAGATTTTTAAAGTACATGGAGGAAACGGCAAGTAGAGTCAGCCCTCCATATCACAGGTTCCTCATCCACAGACTGAACCCACTGCAGACTGAAAATATTTGGAAAAGTACTGAAAATGTACATCCTTATTATCATTATTCCCTAAACAATACAGTGTGACAACTATTTACACAGGAAAATGTATATACCTTATATATAAATAATATGACCTTTATAGAAGAAAGCATCCAGAAGTTTTAGTATCCAATGGAAGTACCAGAACTATCCCTCATAGATACTGTGGGATGACTATACTGTCAATCTGGTAAAGCTGAAAACTGGGCACATCAAATATAAGACACTGTGGTACATGAGACCAGAAAGGAAGGATTATATTATATCAGTACTATACTATGCATTTGCCCTTTATAAGAAAGAAGCCATCATGGAAACAGAAAAGTAACATACATACCTTAGAAAGATTTATGAAAGGAAAAGCAGATGATGACAGGTAACCTAGAACATTTTAAGCTTTTGTAGTAGTCCAAGTGAAATGAGCATCCACTATGACTGTAATGTTAACAATAGGAGATGAATTTGAAACAAATTCAAATTCAAAATCTCATGATAAATTTGACATAGGGGAAAAAGAAAACTCAGATTACTATGAGATGACTTATGTAGAGAGAAAGTGATGCCAACAACCAAATTAGAAAAGCACTAGCTAATACTTGGCAAGATAGAAGACAAGAATTTATATTTGATCATGGATCATTAAAACTTAAGTGACAAACCGAGCTAACCGAAAGTCATGGGTATCTTGAAGATAACTTCAGGGATAGAACCTGGGGGGAGGGAGGAATGTATCATAAAGAGTTTTAAGGAATAAATGACTGATGACAAATGCTGCAAAGGTTAAACAGAAGTGCTAAGAAGTGCTACCAGTGAATTTGGCAGCCTTAAATTACCTTTGAAAAAAAACCATTTCAGCTGATTAATGTGAGGACTCAAATGAAATTGCAGTGAGATGAAGAATGAATGGGAATATGGGGAAGTAAAAGCAGAGATTTCTAAGAACTTAGGAAATGAGCATTAAGAAAGCCAGACTCAAACAAAAGTTGCTGTTGTTTCAGCACCAGAGACTTGAGATGTTTCATATAAAAATATGGTTAAATAAAAATTTCAAGAGAAAAGACCTTTGTAAGGCATGGGGATAAAACTGTTGGTCCAAATAAATTTTCAACACTGTATTACACAAAGTATTTGTGATTTGCTTCTGAGTCTGCACACTTAACAGTCTTAATACAATACTAGTGAACTATAGACTGTAGATTTAACATTTTTAAAACATAGATGCATAAATCCTAAGTTTCAAAATGTATAGAGGGATCCAGAGTTTAATATTTTAACACCGCAATTTTGGTAGGCAGATCACAGTAAAGAAACATTAGTAATATGTTTTACTTTTAATTTTAATTAACATAAATTCTATTTGCCCATATTATGTTCTTAGCACATTCACATTCCTTGATTGGGTATGAAGTCCAGGAAGAGCTGAAACAGGGAAAATAACTTGATAAGCAAGATGCTTTTCCTTACTTCCCTTGTTCTCTCAGTAGAGAAAATACGTAAGTCTCTTAACTTACATGACTTTTTCATGAAATAAGCAATGCATTCTAAAACCAGTAAAATTCTGTTTACATATCAAAGCAGTTGCAATTCAGGTGGGAGAAAATACAAACTATTTTACTACTCCAAAGATCTAAAATTGATCACATCATTTTTTAGCAGCCTAAATGTATTTTTAAAAGAATGGCACTTTTGTCCTTCCTTCCTGAGACAGAAATAGCCCCTCTGCAGGGGTATTTACCATGGCATTCCAACCATTTATACCTAACTAAAGACCTTGATCTTTAACTTTCTTTTTCCTATTGGCATAAGTCAATTTTTGACCATTAAAGGAGGGGAAAGGATTCTGAGATTGAAATCACTTTCAAGATTTTATGGTCTGTTGAAGACAGAAAAATGAGAACTTCTTGAGATGTTAAAATAGAATAAAATGTAAAATATAATAATTACAAAGAAAAGTAAAAAGATGATGGTTATCAAATATTTATTTAAAGGTGGAAGACAAGAAAAATTCCTCTCAAAATCCAAAAACAAATTTTGCACCTTTGCTAAATGTAAAATGTTTGTATGTTTGTTTGTTAGTTACAGGGGATTTTTAACCACTGAGTCACATCCCCAGCCCTTTTTTGTATTTTAGAGACAGGGTCTCACTGAGTTACTTGGGGCCCTGCTGAGTTGCTGAGGCTGGCTTTGAACACATGATCCTCCTACCTCAGCCTCCTGAGCCACTGGGATTATAGGCATGCACCACCACGCCTGGCTGCTAAATGTAAAATGAATTTTCAGATATGACTGAAGGCAGATTTACCAAAACAGTGCTAATTTATAACTTACAAAATCTCATCTGCCCTAAGTATTTGGGGGGGGGGGACAATTGTACACTTAGAAACACTAATGAAATACCTTAAGACTTAACCTAAGAAACAAATCCTTCCTAACCTCAATGACAGCCCCTCTTCATGGAAACAAACATTTCCAACAGAGAAACACACACATACACGCACGCACGCACGCACGCACGTTCGCAAGTGTTGAGCTAAATCAACCTGATCTTTATGTAACCATTTGATAATTTACACAATTATTTATTCTATATAGCATATGACCATTTAGAAACTATATCTTAAGAGCTTTATTGTTCTGGTCCAAGAAGTTGGAAATAAAAGCAAAACTCTTATATTCACAAAAAGACCTGGAATGTACTAACTAGAAAGCCATTAATATAATGCAACATTAAAACAGAAATTTCTATGGAACAAAGGTGGTCAAAATGTTCCCAGACTGCATCTGAAAAGGATATTGAAATTATAACTCATAAGACATGGTACATAAGCATTATTCAAGGTGATAACACGGCTGTATCATTTGATATCTTGAACCCACTGATTTACATATTCTTCACTTCCACAAAGATAAAAGCATTAGCAACTCAATTTTCAAATTATGGGTGAGTTTGTATGCTGCATTAAGAAACTATATATATAAACCAATAACTATAGTTATTTTGGATGTCTTCCTCTAAAAGTTTAAGACTCATTTATTTGGGGAAGATACCCCAATGATATTTTCTTACAGTATGACCTCAGTATATCTAGGTATATGCTACTAGAAAACTGGAAATAAAACATAGTTAAATAAATCACCCTTCAATTAAAAAACAAAGTTTAACCATATCCCTTCTTATTTTTCAATACTAGTTTGTTAAGAACTTTTGTCTCCCAAAAAGGTAGGTGCAAATCCCTAAATTTTGCTTAAAACAGATTAAATAGGTAGAGAAGATGAGACAGTGACATATAAAACAGACACCTCTATTTACATTATCATGATTTATACCATCCCTATCCCATGAAACTTCCCATGTTGCAAACACTGATTTCCTATAAGTCATCAAGATTGCCTGTGATATTGCCCACCTTTTTATTAAACCGGAGGCCAGAACTAATATCATTGTTGCAGTTAATCTTTATTTGTTCTAGTGAAATACCTTTTTCTATATGGCTTCTCCTTAACTAGATATATGAGAAGTTTTGATGGGTACCACAAATGAGGCCAGGACAGAAACCACTGAAGTAAAAATAGCAACATCTCCCAAAAGGCAGCACAAAGAATCCTAACTTGAAAGTCATCAATAAAGAATGGGCCCAGAATAACATGAGATATGCAATGAGCAGAGTTCCTTACACAATGAACACATGAAAGACTTCTGTTTGACTTTTAATTACAAAAGTGGAAGCAGTCTGAAATAGTGCTAAAGTCCATCTTGAAAGATACTTGTCTTACTCATCTTTAGTTAGGCACTGGCAATCCTGTTTCCTACCACAATTTACTTTCTAGATCTTCTTCAGAAAAGGAAGTATACCAGGTTGTTTGCCTTGCTAGGGTAGGGAGGGGATCCTGAGAAAGATGAGGTAACACAGTATTTTGTTATTGGATCTCTATTTATGGCAGTTGAGTCATTGTCATTGCCCTTATTTTACGATTTTTGTTTTTGCCATATTTTTCTCCCATTCTGCAAGAAAAATGCAAAAAAGGACTTTAATTATTCACAACTAAATATTCTGTAAAAAATTTTTTACTTAGTTACCATTAGTATTATAGCACAAGTGCTTACTAATAAGAAAATTTTCTAAACTTCTTATTCTGTACACAAAGAAAATTTATGTTAGGGCTAAATATTCTGGCCACATATCTCATTAGTTAGAAGGATTAGACATCATTAACATATTGTTTCTCCTAACTTTCTAAATTGTTTCTATAACTTAAAACTGCTTTCTTAATGTTGAATATAAATATTTTAAAATGTATTCCAGGAAATAGGGATAAGAAGTTTCACATATTCATCTTATTCAGCAACTTAAGAAATTGTGCAAAATATGATATACATATATACATTCCCATATATAACATACACATATATAGGATTTTATAACTGAATCTTGGTTTTTTGAAATGTTTGCACAGTGTGGGGAGTTTAAATATTTACTAGATTTGAATACATATATTTGTACTCCTTTACCATTCTAAATAGTTATATCAGCAGAGAGAAACATAATATATAAACAAATGACTTAACTGAATTATCAGTTTGTCTTCGCAGACCCAACAGAAAACATTTATTATTATGAACCTTTATTAATTGGCTCACATTTCAGTATAAATCACACTAAAAAGATTTTTAAAAAGCTAATTACACTACAGTGCTGACACACCCAAAATGGGGGGGGGGGGGGGGGGGGGGGAGAGTTGGTATAAATAAGCTGCATGGAAAAGCTTTAAATTGTCAAAAGAATTCTGGCTCATATTACTAAATAAATAAATAAATATGTAGATATGTATGTATGTTTATATACATATCTACATATTTATTTATTTTAATGTCAGCTCCATTCTAAAATCTACAACTCCAACTCAAATGGATTTTTTTATAGACTCCTTTATGTTTAAACCTGCAATGTTTACAGTGCATCTGGCCCTACGTGCTTTATACTTCACAGTTATGGACAGGCACTGAGGAATGTTACAAAGCTACATAAACTATATTTTGTAACAGACTTGAGAGCAAGTCCTTGGCTTGCTTTCAGAATTCATGAATATTTATTACATTATTATTTTTTTTAAAAAAATTAAATGCTATATACAAATTTAGCACAAAATGTCATCATCTTTTCTATCTTGATTTGAGTGTGCTGAACTAAGTTGCCTTGTATCAACTAGACTTATGAGACTTCCAGGACACAGTTCTTCCTTTAATTCTTTGCTGCTATTTTCAAATTTAGATTCCATGTCAATCTTAAATTCTGTAAACCGAACATGATCCATTTTTGCTTTAACATTCTTGCCATCCATATTATTCGATGCTTTAGTCTTTTCAGAAATATTAACATTCACAGGTTCTTCTTTGATTCTTACAGATGAAACAGGTTCATGTTTGATCTGCGATAATTCATGTTTAGAATGAAGTTTTTCTGAAAAAACAGAATCCAAGGAAGTTTTGCTTACAGCACAAATCATGTTGTCCGTGTGAGGTCCAAGAACTGATGATATGGAATCTGGTGATGTGGCTGTTTCATGAGTAGCTGTATTCTGAGATGAGTCCTCCTCTGAGTGATATAATTTGAGCCGAACATGCCATGCTAAACTGCATACTGCTGAAACTGTCTTGAACTGATGAACGACATTCCTTGGAATAAAATAAATGTCATTATCATAGAGCTGAATCCTGGCATAGCGAATGCCTTCTCTCCTCAGTTGATTAAGTTTTGCATCATCAACCCACTGGACGCACTAAAAAAAAGAAACAAGGAATGCATATAAGCATTTTCCACAATAAAACCTAATCTAAAGATAATAATTATTTAAAATATACCTGGGACAGTGGAGGTTCATGTAAATCTAACTGCATTCGTTGAACTACTTCTAAGAAATCTTCAGCATGAAAACAAATTACATCTTTGGTTATTCGGGGTTGATCAGGCCTAAGAAAATAATAATAATTCTGTTTTAAGGCCTTAATAAGCAAAAGTAACTGTGGTCAATATCAAAATATTCCCTTATATTTCTCTTTTCAATTGTAATTGAAAAAACAATCTATATATCTAAACAAAGAGTTGATAAACAGATTAAAAGCAACTCACTTCATTTTATCATAGCTGTCACGAGATTTTTAAAAATTAAAATGATTTGCATTGGTAAATTATGCAAAACAACTCTTTCATTTTAATGTTATGATCAATACTCTATAAAAGTTGTGCTAAATTTGCTAATAATAAAAACTTGATGTTGGGGACATTATATTAAGTGAAATAAGGTATGCACAGAAAGACATATATTGTATGTTCTCAATTATATGGGGAAACTAAAAAAAGAACAGTGGTACAGCTGGGAAGTGGAAGGATGAAAAATGGTAAGAAGACTGTTAATGGGTACAAGGATGCAGATAGACAGAAGGAATAATTTCTTATGTCTAGAGCACAGTAGGAACTATGGTTGACTTTAAATTTAATTGTATATCACAAAACATCTTTTAGAAAGAAACTGAATGTCCCCAACACAGAAATGATAAATGTTTGAGGTGATTACCCTGTTCTGATCACTGAATATTATATACATGTACTCAAATATCACATTGTACCCCATAAATATATACATTAATTAAGGGTCACTAATTTTTTTAAAAATTAGAACTATGGGAGAAAAGGAATATTGTATTTCCAAAGAAGATATAAACTGCATTAATGCATAAAAACCTTAAGTAATGCTTAATAAATTGATAAGATTTTCATTAGAAAAATACTCATAGTTCACTGGCATCATCACTGTCTTAAAATATAATTTTTAAAAATCCCCAAATTCTTCAATTATCTAGGAATATACGAATATAGTTTTACATAAGGTGCTCAAAAATGGATTTTGAATTAAACTCCAAGCAACATAAATACAAAGAAAAGTTACACCAAAGTAAATCATAAACAAATTTCTAAAGAACTATGGCACAGAATATCTAGAAGAAATGCACTGGATTATACATAGGGAAAGAGGATAATCTGTCACTGTATTATATAGACTTCCCATCGATGATAATACAAGCCAAAAGAGAGTGAATTAAAGTATTGGAGGGAAAAGTCCATCTAGAATTCTATACCCACCAAAAATAATATTCAGAAATAAACATTTTCAAACAGACAAAAGTTAAGAAAAATCTGTCACCAGAAGACCAGCATAACAACGAATATTAAAGAAATTTCTACAGACTGAAAAAAATGACACTAAGATGAAAATGCAGATCTATGCAAAAGAATGTAAAGCACACATAATAGTAAATATGAAAGATATTTTATTCTCATTTTTTAAATCTATAGAAAATAATTCCTTAAAGCAAAAGTAATAACATAATGTGGGGTTTACAGCATATGGAAAGTAAAATATTTGACAACAATTAGCATACAAGAAATGGGTAAAGGGGAAATAAATGGGAATATACTGTTGAAAGTCTCTTACACATTAAATAAAGAGATATGACATCATCTGAAGGTAGAGTGTGATAAATTTAGAACAAATAAAACAGAGCTATAGCTAGTAAGCAAACAACAGAAGAAAAAACTAAAAAAGATAAGAGGAGCCAGGCACCATGGAACATGCCTATAATCCAGCAGGTTGGGAGGCTGAGGCAAGAGGGCTCCAAGTTCAAAGCCAGCCTCAGCATCTCAGTGAGGTCCTAAGCAACTCAGTGAGACCCTCGCTAAATAAAATACAAAAAAGGGCTGGGGCTGGGGCTCAGTAGTTAGGTGCCCCTAGATTCAATCCCTGGTACCAAAAAAAAAGTCAAGAGAAAAAGGAACAAAGAAGAGAAGCCACAAATGGGAAAACCAAGATGATAAATTTAAATCCAAATTTTAATATTAGATATAAAAGTTCTAAATATTCATATTAAAAAACAGATTGCCGGGCTAGGGTTGTAGCTCAGTGGTAGAGCACTTGCCTACCATGCATAAGGCACTAGGTTCAATCCTCAGCACCACATTAAAAATAAATAAATAAATAAAGGTATTGTGTCCATCTACAACTAAAATTATAAAAATTTTTAAAAAGACAGATTGCCACTGGATTTGGAAGGGGAAAAAAACACCCAATTTTATGATATCTACATGAAATAACAATATAGACTTATCAACTAAATTTTAAAGAAAAAGAACAGGAAAAGATATGTGAATACAAATCACAGGAAAACTGGAGTGACTATATTAACATCAGACAAAGAGGACTTTAGGTTAAGAAAGATTACCAAGATTAAAAAAAGCATCTTATAATGATAAAATGGTCAATTTATCAAGAAGGAACTCTAAATGTACAGTTATTTAATAATAATAAAGCTTCAAAATACATGAACAACCTTCAAAACATGATGCTAAGTGAAAAGCTAATCATAAAAGACCACATTGCATATAATTCCATTTATATGGAACATTCAGAATACATGCATACAGATTAAAAGTAGAATAGTGATTACCCAGGCTAGGGAAGATGGAGAAACTGGAGAGGTATTGTATTAAAGGGTACAGAGCATCTTTCTGTACCCTTTAATGTCCTGCAATTAATCATTAATAATTATAATTAATGTTCTATATAATTGTGATAGTTGCAAAATTTTGTGAATATACTAATAACCATTGCCTTGTACACTTTAAATAGATGATTCATAGCATATGTAAATTGTATCTCAATTAAGCTGTTGCAAAAGAAAAATATCTGGAGCAAAACCAAGAAAAACTGGAAGGAGGAATAGACAAATCCAGTGTTATAGAGTTGGAGATTAACAAGTTGACAAAAATCAATAAACATATAAAAGACTTTAACCATACAATCAACAAACCTGACTTAACATTTCTAGAGCACTACACCTCAGAAATCAACCAAACATATATTCTTTTAAGTGGACAGCAAACATTAAGATAGTTCATAAAACAAACCCTAAAAATTAGGAAAGACCAAAATCATACACAATATGTTTTATCACCATAGGGGGAATTAAATTAAAAATCACACAGAAAAGTTATGCTAATACAAATCATAGGAAAGCTGGAGCGACTATAATAACGTAAAACAAAGAGGACTTCAGGACAAGAAGGATTACCAAGAATAAAAAGGGCATCTTATAATGATAAAATGGTCAATTCATCAAAAAGGAACTCTAAATGTACAGTAGCCTAGTAATAAAGCTTCAATATACATGGAACAACTTTCAAAACACACACACACTCACACACAGCTAGGGTATAGCTCAGTGATAGAATGTTGCCTAGCATACATAAGACCCTGTTCCAACTCCAATGGTGAAAACACATACACACACACACACACACACACACCAAAAAAAAAAAAAAACACCACCACACACTCTGGGAAAAAAAAATAATCAGACATTAGAAATTAAACAAGACTCTTCTCAACAACCCATAAGTTAAAAAAGACATCAAACAAAAAGTCAAAAATATCCCAAACTGAGTAAAAACGAAAATGTCAAAATGTGTGAAATGTAGCTAAAGCAGTGCTTAAAATTTTAAATACTTACATTAAAAAAGAAAAGTCTCAAATTAATCATGTAAGTTTCCAACTTAAGCTACAAAAACAAATTATTTTTAACCTAAAAGGATAGCAGAAACAATGAAATGGAAAACAAAAAAAAAAAGTGAAATAAACCACTGTATGAAAAGATCAATAAAATTAATAAATTCGAGCATGACTTATAAACACAAATCACTAATATTAGCAAACTGAATCCAGTACTAAAAATTATTTTATATATTATACATATTATGCTGTATTTACCACAAATACCATGTGTATCTTAATATAGGCATATAAATATAGGTATGTACGGTTACTGTATATATGTATTGGTTACTCTGTATTTTATTCTTTTTCATTATATGTGAATATCAACATTCACAATGTAAAACTGTCACCAATTCCCTTGACAACTGCTCTGCTCCAGCACTAGGTATTTAATCCAGGGGAGCTTCACTACTAAACTACATCTTGGGTCCTTTTTTTTTTTCATACATGCTCTATGACATATACAATATTATGTTCTCTATATATACATGTATACCAGATATTTTATGTAAATAAAATATGTAACATAATATAAATGATATTATGATAATGCAGAATAACTAAGAGGTTTTTAAGTCTAGAAAACAATAACAGAATTATAGAATTACAGGGTCTTAGAATAAGTTTATATTTGCTCCCCACTCCCACCAAGTACCAGGGATTGAACCCAGGGGTGCTTAATCACTGAGCCACATCCCTAACCCTTTTTATTTTTTTATTTTGAGACAGTCTCACTAAGTTACCTAGTGCCTCACTAAATTGGTGAGGCTGGCTTTCAACTAATGCTCCTCTTGCTCTGCCTCCCGAGTAACTGGGATTACAGGTATGTGCCAATGTGCCCGCCTATATTTGCTTTGATAAGACACATCAAACAGTTCCCACAGCAACATAATGAAAGTTCTGGTTAATCTCCATCCTTGTCAGCTTTGGCTACTACTGGTTTTTATCACCCTAAGCTGTTTTAATGGATGTATTGTGTTACTTCATTGTAGTTTTAATTTGCATTGAACATTTTTTAAATGTTTACTAGCCCTTTGTTATTTCTTTTATAAAATGTCTATTAAAACCTTTTGCCCAGTCTTGCCAGGCATAGTGATGCATGCCTGTAATCCCAGCAGCTCAGGAGGCTGAGACAGGAGGATTGTGAGTTCAAAGCCAGCCTCAGTAAAAGCAAGGCACTAAGCAACTCAGTGAGACCCTGTCTCTAAATAAAATACAAAAAAATAGGACTGGGGATGTAGCTCAGTGGTCAAGTGTCCCTGAGCTCAATCCCCAGTACCAAAAAAATTAAAAATTAAAAAAAAATAAAACTTTTTGCCCAGTTTTAACTGAGTTCACTATTTATTTTAAATTTTAAGAGTTCTTTATATATATGGATATGAGTCATATAGATAGATGACTGGCCTATAACTTCCTTTTTCATTTTCCTAAAAGTATCATTTGAAGGACAGTTTTAATTTTGATAAAATCCACATTTATGGGTTAGGGATACAGCTCAGTTGGTAGAGTGATTCCCTCGAATGCACAAGGCCTGAGTTCAATCTCCAGCACCAGCACCACCCATATCATTTACCTGATAATGATGATTTGAGTTGTTCTCAATTTTTAGTTTTATGAATAAAGTTGTTTTTTTACATTTTTAATATTTATTTAATGAAATATTTCATTCATACAAGAGTACACAGAGTCTAATTGCCCATTAAAATACAAAGATGTATAGCCACCACTCAAGAAATACAGCAATGCCCTTCCTAAAATGACATCTCACCACTATCAAGGTAATCTCTATTCTGAAATAATAAAGTTGTTTTTAACATTTACTTAAAAGTCTTTACATGGATATATGCTTTCATTTATTTTCGTTTAAATACATATTAATATAATTGCAGAGTGTTAGGGTAAGGCAAAATAACTGTACATGGAGAAAACTGAAAGTTTTTTTTTTTTTAAAAAGCGGGCTTGGGTTGTGACTCAGCAGTAAAACGCTCACCTCGCTCACGTGCGAGGCGATGGGTTCAATCCTCAGCACCACATTAAAAATAAATAAACAAATAAAATAAAGGTATTGTGTCCAATTACAACTAAAAAAATAAATAAATAAACACTAGAATTAATGATCAAGTTTACCAGAGTCACAGGTGAACTGTATTTCTGTGTTTAGCAGCAAATATCTGGTAAAATTAATTTTAGGCATATTTATAATTCTGTTAACAAAATCCTAGACTAGGCAAAACTAATCTATAATAACAAAAAGTAGACTAATGGATGTTTGGATGTCTGGAGCTGGGAAAGGATTGAGATGATTAACTGGCAAAAGATATGATAAAAGCCAAAGATTCTGTACATTAGATGGGGTAATGACAACATGAGTCTACACATTCATCAAAATGTATACTTAAAATTAGTTTTTTTTTAGTGAATGTAAACTATATTTCAATAATGATGATGATTTTCTAAAGACAATTTCAAAGAAACAACCTCCAAATATATGTCTATAAAGTCTTATCTTAATAAGGCCTAAACACTTATATAATTTGAGTAATAATTCACAAGGCTTGTCCCAATATAGTTGGAGATTTCTTTGTAGTCTTTATCAATACCAATCTTTTACTTCAAGTTGATCCTAAGCCTACCTCTTAGGTAAAGTCAAGAATTTAACATCCTAAACCAGGCACAGTGATGCATGCCTATAATCCTAGCAATTTAGGCAGCTGAGGCAGAAAGATTGCAAGTTCAAGGTTAACCACAGGACTTAGTGAGACCCTGTCCCAAAATAAAAATAAATAAATAAATAAAAAGGGATAGTGATGTCGCTCAGTAGTAGACTGTCCCTGGGTTTAATCCCCAATACTGAAAGGAAAAGGAAAAAAGAAAAAAAAAAAATTCCAATACCTTAATAGTTAAGGTCTTTTCAAGAAATGTAAAAATTTCCTTTGTTTAATAACTTGCTTTAACATCAAAGAAACAATAAAAAGAATATACACCCATCTGCATCACAGCCACTACTATAGTTTGGACTATTAGAAGGTAGTAGAACCTTTGGTAGGTGGGGCTCAGTGAAACGTACCCCAGTCTTCTTCTCTGTTCCCCAGTTCATGGGGTAAGCAATTTTGTTCTGCCACATGCTAGTACCATCATGTACTACTTTACTATAGTACTAAAGCAATGGACTGGAAACTAAATCCATAAGCCATATTTCCTTGTATATTAATTATCCCAGATATTTACAGTGATGGAAAGCTGATTAACACAGCCATAAATCCCTCAATAGTATTAACAAAATTACTTTCTCTTTAGTATTAAGAGATTAAAAAGCACTATTAATGTGAGAAGCGAATTATATTTTTCCAAAGTGAGAAACTTCATAGCTAGCAATATCTCACTCATTCCAAATCTGTCTCAAGAATATTCTTAAATCTGGTCATGTGACATGTTAGTAATTTGACAGTAGTCCTTTTTTACTATGAAATTTGTAACCACAAATGTAGTTTCTTATTCTATAAATGTTTATTGGGATCTGTGGTAGGCCTTTGAAACATAGGATTTAATCTGTAGCTTTAATTTCCATATAAAGGGAAAGAAAGAACACATACCAACAATAATTTAAAACAGACTTGAGAGATTTTTAAAAAGTGCTGAGGGCTTTAGAAGCGAGAATATTTATCTCCAAAAGGAAATATATGTGGCTGACTTTATGGAACACTATTTACAAATCAGATTTACCCTAAGAAAATATTAATGTCAATGTTAAATTCTTTATCTGAAACATTTGAGGAAGACATCATTAATTTGAAACAGAAAGAATTTTTAAGGATTTCCACAGAGATAAATTTGTCTTTACTCTTTGATAAAATTAACATTTTAAACTAGATAATAGAAAGAGCATAGAAACTATAAAAACAACCACAGTTATTTGAAAATTAACATTTAAGCATAACTCAATGAGGGGCTGAGGCTGTAGCTCAGAGGCAGAGCACTTGCCTAGCATGTGTGAGGCACTGGGTTCAAGCCTTAGCACCACATAAAAATGAAACAAATAAAATAAAATAAAGGCATGCTGTCCATCTATAACTACAAAAAATAAAAATAAAAAAGCAACTCAATGAGAATTATGAAATACTTAATATTTTAAAATATTAAGTAAAAAAATACTTAATATTTTTATTAAGTATTTTTTTATTTTATTAATTTATTTTATTTTATTAATATTTTATTAATTTATTTATTTTATTAATATTTTTTCCTAAGAATATTTTTTCCTTAGAATCAGTTCTAGATCCTAGTACAATTCAATATCAGATACTTTGTATACCTGAGATTGATAAACCTTCATTCCTTTTATAATCAGTTTACACTGGCTAGCTTCTCTATTTAGTATTAATTTATAAAATATTACTACAAATTTCTCTTTTTAATTAAGTGTCAATCTGGCATAAGTAATCCTTGAAAATAATATTGCCCTATGTGGAAAATACAGGTTATAATTTTAGTAAGACCTCAGAAAACTACACAACTAATATTTTATGTTTTCAGAATGAAAAATGGTTTCTTTACTTAGAAAAGTCTCCTGTTTATTTGCTATCTAATTCCACTGCTTTAATAAGAAAGCATATTCTAATTCATGTTTCATACCCAAACCCAAACAATACTCAACTTGACAAATATCTAGGGCTGAGGGTGTAGCTCAGTGGTACAGCAATTGCCTAGCACATGTGAGGCACTGGGTTATACTCTCAGCACTGCATAAAAATAAATAAAATAAAGGTATTGTGTCCATTTACAAAAACAAAAAAAAATTAAAACTCAAATATAAACAAACTTACGTATAAATATAGCTATAGTATAAATATAACTTTGCTATTTTTGCTATTTACTAAATGAAAAGTTACATAACATATGTATAAGCACCTTAAACATATTAAATAGAATAATCTACATTTAATCTATCCAAATATTTCTTATTTTTTTATTCACCAGAGGCTGCGAAGAGCAGAAGGGAAGGAGGAGGTGGAGAGGTCCATGATCAAGTACAAAGTTATAGTGAAGTCGGAGAAAAAAGTTCTGGTGTTCCATTGCACAGGAGGGTGATGATAATGCACTGTATATCTTGAAATAGCTAGCAGAAAGGATTTTTCAAAGTACTCACCATTAATGATAAGTTTAAGGTGATAAATATGCTTATTTCCTGATTTGATCATTAAACAGTATATATATGAAATCAAATATCACATTTGTACCCCATAAATATATACAATTACTATATATCAATCAAAAATAATAAAGACCAAAAATATTTTAAAGAAAAAGAAATTCAAAGTGAAGCTTGTAAGCAAAGCTGAAAAAAAAATCAGAGACAAATAATAAACAGATATTAACTTAATAAAGGAAGCAGTAAAGCAGAATAGTAGAAAGAAAACACAAAATCCATCTCAGCTCTACTACTTATTAACTAGAAGACTATAAAGAAGCTGTTTGACAGCCCTGAGCTTCAGTTTTCTTTTGTCATAAAAATGGGCTAAAAAGTAGTTGAGAAACTTAAGTAAGACTACATTTATTTTTAAAAAAAAAAAAGAGTACATTTATAAATGGCCATATAGTAATACAAAGTAAATCTAGTTTTCCTTTTACCCTAGTGTTTTTACCTTCTACCCATATAGAAAATGAAATTATTTAACTCAAACAAATGACTACAGCTAGAATCTAACAATTTAAAACCCAAACACAGGGAGGGTAACTAAAATTCTTCTCTTCCCCAGTATGGAAAAATTATTAAGAAAGTTTTCAAGAAAAAATTTAGAAGCCACAAAAGTCTTTCATTAGAATAGCAGTAGTTATATATACCACTCTCCACAGTGCACAGCCTTCAGTACTCCAACAGCAGCTGTTGTCTGTCGTTCAAAACCTTGTCCTATATGATCTGCATGGGCCCTTGTCCTGTCTTCAAAGAGCATCTCACGAGGCTCACTGGTTCGAGGTAGGTACTGAAGGTTTTTTATTTCATTGGTAGTTCTGTTTTTAAAAAAGATTTATATTTATATATTGAAGCTTACTTGCCATCAAACATTCAATAATCACATAATTCAGATAAAAGGAACTTTAAATTACCTGTTCCCAAATTAAGTTCTAATTTTTTAAATGGATGAAAACACATATACAATACAATCCCCTCCTTGTAATACACCTTCACAAAAGTCACAGCTATAAAAAAAAAAAAAAAATTTACTTGGATAATAAAGTGAATTACAGATGGTATAATTTACTGAGTTTCCTTATATATTAATCCCCTCTTGACAGTGGTTTCACATTGTCTCAGTTAACCTACAGTCAACTGTGGTTTGAAATATTGTGAAATTTTTCATAAATAAATATTTCCTTTCATAAGCAATGAGGAAGCAGTAGAGATACAGAGTAATGGCAATGATAAAATAGCAGCAGATACTTTTCCAAATATTTGGAACAAGATGGATATTCAGATACTAGAGGTATTTAGAACCCCAAATAGACAGGATCAAAAAAAAGAACCCTCTACAACACAATGGAATTAAAATGCAAAAAATACAGATCAAAGAAAAATTTTAAAGCTACAAGAATGAGATGCCAGGTCACATTTAAAGGAAAACCAATCCAAATAATATCGGATTTCTCAATGTAAACCCTAAAGTCCAGGAAGACTTGGAAAGATGTATTATGAACCCTGAAAATAACTGCCAACCAAGATGGCTATATCCAGCAAAGCTTATCTTTCATAATCAAGGAACAAAAACTTTCCAAGACAAACATAAACTAAAGGAACTTATGACTACTAAGCAAGTATTGCAAAACATAGGATCCTTAAGAGAATCCTATACACAAAAAAGAGAGAAAGAAATAACCAAATAACCAAGAGAGAATAAATCTCATTAGAAATAAATATGCAATGAGAATCGGGATTAAAGAAAACATTAGAAATAAGTCAAAGTGACAGGAATCCTCCAATTAAAAGACACCGGCTGGCAGAATGGATTAAAAAAAGAAGATCCAACAAGAAACAAACCTCACAGGCTAAGACATCCACAAGCTGAAAGTAAATATGGAAAATTATATCCCAGGTGAATGGAATCCAAACTGCTAAGTGTGGTGGCATATGCTTATTATCCCAGCAACTCAGGTGGCTGAGACAGGAGGATCACAAGTTCAAGGCCAGCTTCAGTTACTTATCAAGGCCCTCAGCAACTTAGTGAGACTCTGTCTCAAAATTTTAAAAAAGTAAAGTAAAAAGAACTGGGAATATAGCTCGGTGGTAAAGAACTCTTAGATTTAATCCCAAGGACAAAAAAAAGAAAAAGAAAAGAAAACCTGAAAGCAAATAGAAAAAGCTATTCTCATATAAGACAAAGCATACTTCAAGATAACAAAAATCACTACATATTAGTAAAGGGAACAATCCAACAATACAATAATGATAGTAAATATATATACTCCAAACATCAGTGTACCTAAAAACATAAAAAAGAATATTTGACATAAGGGCTCACTTAGGTCCCAATATAATAATAGTGAGTTCAATATACCTGTCTCATTACTAGATAAGTCCTGAAAACTTAAAATCAAGATACTACATAGACAATCCCCCCAAACCAAATGCTGAATGTTCTCTCTGATTTAAGGAGGCTGATTCATAATCGGGTTGGAGTCGGGGGGGAGCACAGGAGGATTACACAAACTCTAGATATGGTAAAGGGGGGGAGGGGAAAGAAGGGGGGTATGGGGGTAGAAAAGGTGGTGAGATGAGAGGAACATCATTACCCTAAGTATATGTATAAAGACACTAAAGGTGTGGCTATACTTTGTATACAACCAGATATGTGAAAAATTGTGCTCTGTGTGTAATATGAATTGTAATGCATTCTGCTATCATATATAACAAATTCAAATAAAAGTAAATAAAAATTTTAAAAAATCAAGATACTACAGAGTTAAATCATACTATATATCAAATGGATTTAACATATCTATAGAATATTTCATCTAATAATCGCTCAATATACTTTCTTCTCAGCTGCTCATGGAATTTTCTCCAAAAATGAATATTTAGACCTCAAAGCCAAGTATTAGAAAATACAAAAAAAAAAAAACTCAAATAATTCCTTATATCTTATCAGATCATAATGGAATGGAATGAAATTAGAAATCAACAACCAAGAAAAACTATAGAAACTACATAAACACATGGAGACTGAACAATATGTTTTTTGAATGATGACTGGAACGTTGAAGAAATCATACTAAAAATTTTAATATTCCTAAAATAAAATGAGAATATAAATACAATACACCAAAATCTCTGGGACACAGCAAAGACAGTTCTAAGAGGAAAGCTTTTAGTGATAAGTGCCTACATTAAAAAGTCAGAACAGGGCTGGGAGTATAGCTCAGTGGTAGGGTGCTCGCCTTGCATGTGGAAGGCACTGGGTTCAATCCTCAACACCACATAAAAATAAAATAAAGGTACTGTGTCCACCTACAACTAAAAGAAGAAAAAAAATCAGAACATTCCCAAACAAACAACCTAGTGATAAATCTCAAAGTCTTAGAAAAACAAAGAAAAAAAAATCATTCTCAAAACTCTAGAATAAAGAAAAAAATGATAAATATCCAAGCTAAAATTAATGAAATATAGGACAACAAAATCTCAAAGGATCAATGAAACAAAGAGTTGATTCTTTGAGAAGATAAACAAGATTGATAAACACTTCACCAAAATAACCAAAAGAAAGAGAAAAAAAAGACCCAAATTAATAAAATTAGAAAAATAAAAAAAAAAAAACAAGAGCTATTTACATTAGATGCCACTGAAATTCAGAGGATCATTTGAGACTATTTTGAAACTTGCTTTCCAATAAATTAGAAAATCTGGAAAAAACAGATAAATTATTCTAGATATATATGACCTACCAAAATTGAATAAAGAGAACACAGAAAACCTAAACAGACTAATAACAAAAACAACGAGACAGAAGCAGTAATAAAATAAAGCCAGGACCAGATGGATTCACAGCCAATTCTACCAGACCTTGAAGGAAAAAAAAAAAACTAATGTCAATGCTCCTCACATTATTCCAGGAAACAGAAAGAAACACTTCCAAACCTACTCTCCAAAGCCAGCATGACCGTGATACTAAAACCAGATAAGGATCCTCAAGGAAAGAAAACTACACACCAATATCCTGGATGAACAGATATAAAAACCCTTAATAAAATATTAGCAAACTGTATTCAACATCACGTTAAAAGATTATATATCATTATCAAGTTGGTTTCATTGCAGGGATGCTAAGATGACTCAACATATGTGAATCAATAAATATACCACTTAAATAGAATCAAAGACAAAAATCATATAATCATCTCAACAGATACAGAAAAAGTCAGACAAAATTCAGCACCCATTCATGACAAAGAACCTTGAAGAAACTAGAAATAGAAGGAAATTACCTTGACATAAAGACTATATATAACAAACCCAAAGCCAGTATCATACTGAATAGAGAAAAACTGAAAGCATTTCCTCTAAATGAAACAAGACAAGGATGCCCAACTCCCTACTCCTATTCGATACAGTACTAATTCTAACCAGAGAAATTAGGCAAAAGAAGTACTACAGTTTAGATATGAGTTGTCCCCCAAAAGCTCATGTGGAAAACAAAAGAATAATGTTCAGAGATAAAATGATTAGATTATGAGAGCTATGACCGAATCAATAGATTAATTCACTGATATGAATTAAATGGGTGGTAGCTTTAGGCAGGTAGGACGTGGCTGGAAGAAGAAGGTTACTAGAGGTATATCTTTGAGGTTTATATTTTGACCCGATAAGCAGATATCTTCCTCTGCTTTCTGGCTGCCATGTCCTGAGCTGCTTTCCTCTGTCATACTGTTCTGTCTCATCTCAGTCCCAGAGCTATGGAGCCAGCCAACCATAGGCTGAATCTCTGAAACTGTCAGCCAAAATAAAACTTTTCCTCCTCTAAGTTGTTCTTTGTGGAGCAAAGCTAACTAATACAGAAAATAAAAGGAATACAAATTAAAAAAAGGAAGAAGTAAAATTGTCCCTCTTTGCAGATGACCTGGATCCAATACTTAGAAGAGAATAAATCCTCCACCAGAACACTTCTAAACCTTATAAGCAAAGTAGCAGGACACAAAATCAACCTATGAAAAGCAACAGCTTTTCTATATACTAGTAATAAATACACTGAGAAAGAATTCAGGACAAAATTACAACAGATTTAAAAACATACTTAGGAATAAATCCAACCAAGGAGGTGAAAGATACCTATGAGGAAATTTACAGAACATGAAGAAGAAATAGAAAATGACACCAAAGGATGGAAAGCCCACCCATGTTCATGGAGAGACAGAATTAATATTGTTAAAATGGCCATACTGCCAAAAGCAATCTGCAGATTCAATACAATCCTCATCAAAATACCAATAACATTCTTCACAGAACCAGAAAAAACAATCCTAAAATTTATATAGAAGAAGAACAACAACAAAACAGAATAGCCAAAGCAACTCTAAGGAAAAAGAGTAAAACTGGAGACATCACAATACCCATCTTCAAATTATACCTCAGAACCATAGCAACAAAAATAGCATGGTACTGGCATAAAAGCAGACACCAAGACCAATGGATCAGAACAGAAGGCACAAACTCACAGAGGTACTACAATTATCTGATTCTTGACAAAGGTGCGAAAACTTATGTTGGGAGAAAAGACAGGCTATTTAACAAATGGTATGGTGCTAGAAAACTGAATATCCATTATGTAGAAAAATTAAAGACAGATCCCTCTCTCTCACACACAAGTCAACTTAAAATGGATCAAAGACCTAGGAATTTAGTCCAGAAACTTTGCAACTTTGCAACTGCTCTAAGAAAACATAGGGTCAACATTCCAACATACAAGCACAGGCAATGATTTCCTCCACAGTACTCCTAAAAAGCTCAGTAAAAACAAGGATTAATAAACAGATGCTATCAAACTAAAAAACTTCTGCAAAACAAAGGAAACAACAATGTAAGGAAAGAACCTACAGAATGGGAGAAAATCTCTGACAGCTTTTTTGCTGATAGAGGATTAATATCTAGAATTTATTAAGAGTCAAAAAACTACACACCAAAAAAATAAATAACCCACTCAATAAATGAACAAATACACTAAACAACACTTTTCACAAGAAGATGGCCAAAAATATATGAAAAAATGTTCAATATCTTTAGTCAGCAGGGAAATGGAAATCAAACTACACTGAGATTTCATCTTGCTCTAGTTAGAATGTCAATCATCAAGAATACAAATAACAATGCTAATGAGAATACAGAGGAAATGAACATTTTTACACAGTTGATGTAAGTATATATTAGTACGACCACTATGGAAAATCAATGTGGAGATTCCTCAAAAGACTAGGAGTGAACCACAATATGATCTAGCTATACCACTCCTCAGTATTTACCCAAAAGAACTAAAGTCAACATACTGTACAGATACAAGCATACCCATGTTTGAAGCAGTACAATTCACAACAGCCAAAGTATGGAACCAGCCTAGGTGTTCATCGGATGAATAGAAAAAGAAAAATGTGATATATAAACACAATGGAGGCTTACTTAGCCATAAAAACTAAATTATGTCATTTGTAAAAAAATAAAATAAAATAAAATGGATGAAACTAAGAGGATCATGTTAAACAAAAGAAGCCAGACTCAGAAAGGTAAGGTCATATATATGTTTTCTGGTCAGAAGGGATCTCGTAAAAATAGAAGGGACACAGTAAAGTACAGGAAAGGGGTAGGGCAAGGGGAAATAATGAAAAGTGAAATCATTCAAAATATTTTATATGCATGTATGAATATACCACAATGAAACCCACATCAACAAAAAATAAAATTATAAACAAAACAATTCCTAAGTTTTCAATTGCTTACTATTCAGAGACATATTATGAAATCTCATGCCATTCCATTCTGTCCTGCCCAGGATGCAAATCATCCCTTTGTTCAGAGTACTCACCTACCTGCCTATTAGTCACTCAGTAGCTATCTCCACTACCAAATTGAGTTGTCTCAATATTCTAGTAATTCTTATTTTATCTTAACAATGACCCTAAAGGACAAGAGTAGTGATGCTGCACCAGACATATCTGTAATCAATGATCCATAATCAACTCAGGAGGCTGAGGCAGGAAGATTGCAAGTTTGAGGACAGCCTCAGTAATTTCACAAGACTCTTGTCTAAAAATTAATATGCGTATAAAGGACTGGGAATGTAGCACACTGGGTTCAATCCCCCACACCCACCCCCAAAAAAAGAGTAATGATGCTAGCGATTCAGGTAGGCCAAGGAGAAGCCTTTAAGTGAAAGATGAAAATACAATAAGATATTTCGACAGAAAGAGAGCATCAGGCCACATTCGTATACCTTTTATTTGAGTTTATTGTTTTTGTTGTGTCATCTTATTAGTTATTGCTACTAATTTCTTACTATGCTTAATTTATAAATTAAAGTTTTATAAGTCAAATATATAGGGGAAACATAGTACATATAAGACTTGGTACTATCTGTGGTTTCAGACATCCTCTGGGAATCTTAGAATGTATTCCCCAAGGAAGGGAAGACTCCTGTACCTAGAATCTTTATCTGAGATTTGGGTCTAATCTGAATAGGATCATGTACCCATGTATACAGGATAGAAACCCTATTTAGATCACTTGGTAACACAAAATATACTTTTAGAACAAAAGGTAACTTAAAATTACATTAAGTCAGTATTTATAGGACCCAGGCTATATGGCAGGAATCTTCTAGGCACTGAGGCTAGTATTAATGAGACATTAATGACAGATGGGGTTCCTACAGTCATGGAACTTTATATTCTAGTGAGAAGAGGACAAAAAATAAGAAAATTAGCAAGGAGAAAAAGTCAGCAAGTGCTTCCATAAAACATGCCTGGTTTACTGGAAGCAGAAAGGAAACCCTTAGCTCTGTCTTGGAAGACAGTCACCTCCCACTGTCCCTCTCCTCCACTTTCATCCTCTAGAATCCATAAAGCACACAAAATTCACTACCTACTTAGCCTTATATACTGCAGAAATCTCTTTAATTCTACTGTAGAATGGGGGAAAGTATGAGAACAACTCTGGCCAGAAGTAATCATTTATCTTCCTCTCCGGTTTTTACGTTGCTTCCAGAGACAATTTTAGATTGCCCCTATGCTTTTCTCCTCTTATCATCATTTATCCTCCTGGAAGTTATTTATTAGTTCTCTAAGTTCCCACCCTTTATCCTACTACCTACTGCTCTTTGGGTACCCTTGCATTACAGTCTCATACATACATACACCCATATATGTGTACATAAAACATACTCATATATTCTTTTGTTCTTTGTGACTAACATCTTACATGTGTCAGAAAGTTAGATAATGCCTGTAATAGCAGCAAATGGGAAGGCTGAGGCAGAGGATAAGTTTGAGGCCAGTCTCAGTGATTTATGCCAGGCCCTAAGCAACTTAGTGAGAGCCTATCTCAAAACTAAAACTTAAGAAGGGATGAGGAGCTGGGCATAGGGGTACAAGCCTGATCCCAGCAACTTGGAGTTTAAGCCAGTCTCGGCAATTTAGTGAGATCTTGTCTCAAAATACAAAATTTAAAAAAGCTTAGGATGTGGCTCAGTGGTAAAGTGCCCCTGGGGTTCAATCCCCAATACCCTCCCCCTCAAAAAATTGGTAATGTTGCTTCCTGTGGAAAACTAAGAGGCTTTCAACCTCACAAGCTTGGTCTCATTAATGAATTAAGGCACATATAGCACTTGGCACAATGCTGTTATTAGTCATCACACATACCATGGGCTGTAAACCCTTAAGTGAATGGAAATTCCTCAGGGAGCTGGTGTTATTACAAATCTAAACTTTGTATATATCTGCATTATTCTGGGAAAAGACTTTCAGATTCAATGATTGCTAAATTCTAAAACAAAATTAAGAACACTTGAGAAGCACATCAATTTTATCATTTGCTACCAACTTAGAAATTAACTTGTAAAATTTAATTCAACCCAAAGTTATTAAGCACAACACTGTGTCTAAACACATATGCTATAAACACATTAGTAATAAGCCCAACATGGTCCTTGCCATCAGGCAACCTACTACTAATGACTTTGCTCTTCTCTGTTTTTTTGTTTTAATTAATAATCACTGTAACCAATAAAACTATTTTAGGTATCTAAAGAAAAAGAGATTATCTCCTTTAGGATGACCACTTCCAATCCCAAATGTTAACATAGTGTACTCTATTCCAAACCTTTTCCTGTGCTCACATAAATATACATTTATTCATGGGGTTTTATTTCATAGTTATTTTTGTTTTTCATAAGAATCATACAAGATACATTATCTTATATTTTGCTCTTTTCAAGTGTCATGAATAACCTTCCAGATCAAAAGAAATAAAAATCCTATTTTAACTGTTTTATCATATTCTTTAATAAGAATGTAGAAATGTATTCAACCATTCCCCTGGTTGGTGGACATTCAGGCATTAAATTATTTTCTTATTACAAACAAGACTACTATTAGCATTCTTACATCTTAATCTTTAATGCTTTTATTTATTGGGGTAGATCCCCAAAAGTAGGGAAGCAGATCATGGTTAGATACAAAGTGTATGAGCTACTTCCAGACTTTCAAAGCAACTCACTCTTCTACCAACAATATATATAAAAGACTTTCTTCACAACGCTTGATTATTGCTACATTATTATTGCTATGTTGATAAATTTATCAGTTCAAAGGGCAAAAATATCTTGTAGCTTGTTAAAAATAAACTTACCTGCCTAAGGTAAAGTTTATATTTCTACTGGGTGGTTTTATATTTTTCTTGTTGATTTGGGAATTTTATTTTTCTTTCTCAAGATAGGATGTCACTATGCTGCTTAGACTGGTTAAGATCCTCCAGCCTCAGCTTCCTAAGTAACTGGGATTATTTGTGCCTGCCCTGCCACATCAGGCATGTTTTAGTCCGATCTATTATAGTTTTGAACTCTGTTGTTGTCTTTTCTCTCCCAACCAATATTATCACTATATCTTTTAGTCTTTCTTAGGAAGATCACTTCCAAACTTAACATTTTTGTGCTCATACTTGTATTTGTTTTACCTGTGATGCTTAAAATCTCTTTTTGTATGAGGTAGAAGCTCTGTGTTTTCTTTCAGAATGCCAATTATGCCAGCATTATTCATTAAATAAGTATTTCCTCATCCATCTCATCCTATGTACTCATATCTATTCTGGATTCTATCCTACACCAATGATCTATTTGAGTTTTGTAGAAATTTTCAGTATCCAGTATCTTTCACAGTTTTCTTCCTTATGAACTTTAAACACATTTTATCCAGTTATAGGGAGTATGAGTACAGACGAATATTTAAACAAATATCATTCTTGACGCAGAAGATAGTAGGGCTTTCCATTTGTTTTAGTATAATTTTATAGCCTCCATAAGATGTTTCCATTTTCTTAATACAGCTTCTGAATATTTTATTAAATTCATTCTAAAATAGTTTTATAATGTCTCACTATATGATATTTGTTCCATTCCCATTTATAATTTATTGTCATTTACCTATATTTCTCATGTCTTATAAATGGCAGATGTAATATCACAAACTCTACCAGCATGTATAACTATCTTTTAATTTTCATTCCAAATATGCTCTATAAATTTTCCCTTCCTTCTTCTTCCAATTTTCTACTAATACTCATACACATCAATGTATGAACACACATTTTTCAGAAATAAAAATTTGTATCCAACATACCTTTTCCTTTTGAAAGGTGACTTTGGCATATCAGCCACAGGGATCATTTGTTCTCCTGGACGTACCCACATAATGGGACCATCATCACTGTCTTTTCGACTCTCTAATTTTAGACTAGATAATGTCCCCCATGGCAGTGTACACTAAAGACAATTATACAGAAATTATTTTTAAAATGTATCTTCAAATATGCATTTAAAAAATAGTTCTCCCTTCACAAAAACACATTCATATACAATTTAAACATCTGAAATACATATCCCTATATATTCATAATTTAACTTCAAAAGTTCAATTTCAAACATACCAAAAGAATATTTATGCTTGGATGGCTCTCTCCCCCTACCATGCCAGGGGTATGATTCAGTATATTCATAATTTGTTATTATTCTTTCGATAAACATATGGGTCATATGATTTTAAGTTGGAAAAATGAGCAAGTGCCCATTAGTCACCACACAGACTAAATATCTGCTTTTATAGATGAAGAGACCAAAGCCCTGAAAGTTTATGTGGTTTGCTCAACCCAGGTAGGTCTAGTCAAGGCTAAAACAAAGGTATACAATTTCCCTGGTCATTTTTTCACAATGTCAAACTTCCTACTATGGTTTAGATGTAAGGTGTCCCCCAAAAGCTCATGTGTGAGACAATGACCTTAGAAAGTTTAGAGGTGAAATGACTGGGTTCTGACAGCTTTAACTAAATCAGTGCATTAATGCTCTGATAGGGATTAACTGGATGGTAACTGTAAGCAGATAGGGTGTGACTGGAGGAGGTTGGTAACTGGGGGCATGCCCTTGGGATTTATATTTTGTCCAAAATGAGGGTCAATCTCAATATCTATCTATCTCTCTGTATAGATAGACAGATAGATAGATATAGATATATAAATTTAGAAAAACGCAGGTATACCAACTTTTGAATATAATTTCAGTGCTATTATAGATTGAATAATGAACTCTTATGTCCTAAGGAGATGTTGTAGTCAGTTCTCTAGAATTATTTTGTTTATCTGAACTGTTTCCATAAGCTGTGTATGGTAATATACTAAAACACTGTCATTCCTTTATCCTAGACATTTTAATTTAGTAATCATCCTTCCTGCATGTTTTAGTCAGCTTTTTCATTGCTATGACCAAAAGACCTGACAAGAACAATTAGAGGAGGAAAAGCTTATTCAGGGGTGCTAACAGTTTCAGAAGTCTCAGTGCACAGTCAGTCAACTATTATTTGGAGACATAGCTGAGGCAGCACATGAAGGAGTTAGAGGTGACACAGGAAAGTGGCTGGAACATGGCTACCAAGAAGCAGAGAGAGAGCTCTGCTCAACAAGAACAAAATGTATACCCCAAAGGCATGCCCTTAGGGACCCACGTCTTCCAGCCACAACCCACTTGCCTACAGTTACCACCCAGTTAATCCCTATCAGGGGATTAAAGCACTAATTAAATTAAAACTCTCATAACCAAATCATTTCACCTCTAAACTTTCTTGCATTGTTTTATACATGAACTTTTGGGGGACACCAAATATCTAAACCATAACACTATACTTCTTAAATTCTTGGTACGTATTCTATAAAGTGGTAATAAACAGATGGAAACTAATTTTCTAAAGTGATTGTAACAGATAGTTATTTTCTGGTTCAACACTCAGCTTTGCCATTACAATTAGGACCTGAGAAGTTACATATATGCACTATACAAGATCACTATTTTTCATTTCTTCCTTTCCTTCCCTCCAATTTAAATAAAACCAAATTTATATAAGCCTGAAATAGCCATTAATTTGTATTACCTGTAGTACAAAATTAACCACCACAATTTAAATTGATTAGATTATTTTCCCTTACTTTTAAAAATGGTGAGTCTTCCAACATGTCAAGAAATTCAGGGAAGTAATCTCCCACTTCTTCATCAACTGCTCCCACCAAGCTTATTTGTCGCATTGGACCAGCTCTGTAAGTACCATGAGAATATGTTCTTTTTACCTGAAGAATATGAATTTAATAACAAGTTACACATAAGATAATGCTTGCTATCAATGTGTAATAATAAATTATACTGTCTCAATGTTAAGAATATATGAAGCAAGAAAAGCAAAACAAAAAGCATTATTAACTAAAACAAATAGTTTATTTAATGTAAACCCTACATTAAACCTAGCTATTTTGTTCTCCAACTATTATTATACATAGCTTATGGCAACAGTTCAGATAAACAAAATAATTCTAGAGAACTGACTATAACATCTCTTTAGGACATAAGAGTTCATTATTCAATCTACAATAGCACCAAAATTATATTCAAAAGTTGATATACCTGCATTTTTCTAAATTTATTGCTCATATGTTATCAGATTTTAAGTTACCATCTGAAAAAGTTACAAAAACCATTACTAGTGGTTTCTATGTCTAAAAAGTCGCAAGGGATGATCTTCTTATCTAGATCACAACATACTACTTTGCAGCCAGTTTGCATAATGTTAATTCCAATGAAAAACTGCTAGAAATTGAAAATCAAGAATCTCAAGCCCCAAACCTGCCTTTGCCACCTACCAGCTATGTTACCTTCAGACAAATAATTATTTAAGTTCCCTGAAATTTAGTTTACTTAACTGGAAAGTTTTACCTCAGATTTACCCTAAAACCCTAACCCTACTGAAGAAAAATGTAATAATTATATAAAGCCACCTGTCACGGTGCTAGCAAACTGCTGGCATTCAAACAGGCAAAATAAGGCAGCCTAAACCTCCAGATTCACTGATATGTGAATTTTCACAAGCATATTTGAATCCTGACAAACCCATGTGTTTTCATATATTAACACTAGTAAATAAGAGTAAAATTAATAATTAGAAAACCAATACTTATTAACAAATTTAATATTTCAGCCCTTATAAGAGTAAAATTTCTGTGTTTTAAGTGAAACTTTTTTTCAAAAAACAAACATTTGAGGGCAGGGGTGGAATATGGGCGATTAAACCCAGGAGTCTTTACCAGAGCCACATCCCTAGCCTTTTTATTTATTTTGAAGCAGGGTCTCCCTAAGTTGCTTAGGGCCTTACTAAGAAGCTGAGGCTAGCCTCAAACTTGAGATCCTTCTGCTTCAGCCTCTTGAGACACCTGAATTATAGGCATGCACCACTGTGCCCAGCTCAAAAACAAATTTGATGTGAAACCCTAATTATCTTCTTCTCCAAATTAATCTTTGTGGCCACTAAATTTAAGAGATCAACATGTCCCAGTTTACCAAGGATTAAGCCTATTTTAAAAGTCAAAGTCTTGTATCCCCAGCAAACTGGATGGTCTACCTTTGTCACATTATGGACACACTGAAAAATCCTCACAATCACAGCTATTACAGTAACAATGCCCCAACATTCCTATCTCCAGAAACGTGTCAATAAAAAATTAATTTTAATAGAAAATTTTGACAATGATATTAGAGTATTTTATTTTTATCACAATTGACAAAGCAGTACAATAATAATTACATTAATGTCTTAAAAAGTTTACTAATAAGGAGGAGAGAGGCGAGGAGGGAAGGGAAAAGAAAACAAAAATGAAATCAAACAACTTATATTATAAAACACAAAATTTCCAAGGTTTTGAAATATTAACACTTGACTTTTAAAAGGCAACTTAAGAAGGTAATAGTTCTACTTCACATAAATAAACTGTTTATCAACTTCCTTATCTTTTTTAAATCAAATATCTCATCTAAGTCACTAATTCAAAGAAAGCCAGAATCAAATAAACCATTGTCACTCAAGTAGCTCTTGATACTCATCACAGTATCAACAATGATCAATTAAATTATGTGAGCACTTTATCATGGGTGGGAGTGGGTAGCCTTGAGAATTTTTAGTGAGTGAATTCTTCTAAAATGCTAAACACAATTCAATTTACAAGCTCTCTAAAAAAACAGCTTTAAACACACCTTTAAAGTAAAACCAAATGGACTGTTATCAACTGGTCCTCTCTTCCAAGGGAGTATATATAGCAATGCAATACATGCAAACAACATGTATTGAACAACAAAGAATGCTTTCTGATGTGAATGTTAGAAGAAATTTAGGGGTCAAAGATAATCCTCTAAAGAAACAAGTCTGAAATCAGAACAGTCAATGTATCTAGTATGTATAATGAGGTTATACATGAAATAATTCATTTCTCAAATAACTGACACAGTTGCATTCTACCCTAGGTATTGTCATGCAATTAAGATAACTATTTCTATTCTACCAAAAAAAATGCCATTATGAAACCATAGAAAAATAGAGGAAAAGCAAAATTAATAATCAGAAAACCAAAACTACTTATCAACAAATTTAATAGTCAGCCCTATTAAAAGTAAAATTTCTGTGTTTTAAATACAAGAATATGTATCACTGAGTAACAGAAAAAAATTGGTAAAACACCTTGGGTGATAACAATATAAATGCAGGTGGAATGAAATGGACATCATAACCCTAAGTACATGTATGAAGACACAAGTGGTGTGACTCTACTTTGTGAACAACCAGAGACGTGAAAAATTGTGCTCTATATATGTACTATGAGTTGAAATGCATTCTGCTGTCATGTAAAACAAATTAAAATAAATAAATTTAAATATATATAAATGATATGTTCTGTCATAACTCAAGTGCTTTTATTAACTTATTTAATCAGATGTTCCTATTTGAAGTTAGAAGAGTTGTTTCATTACTCAGGAGACAGGGCAGAAGGGGGTCCCAAGTTTGAGGCCAACCTTATCATTTGACAAGATCCTGTCTCAAAATAAAAAATAAAAAAAGAGCTAAGAATGTGGCTCAGCAGTAGAGTGCCCCTAGGTTCAATCCCTAGTACCACAAAAACTAAAAAGAATGATTGTTTCATTGATCAAAGGTACATAATGGACCTAGCCATCTCATTTCATTCAAATTATACACTTACATTAATATCCTCTCAAATTTACAAATGTTCCTTAAAAAAATACAATGAGTGCTGGGGTTGTGGCTCAATGGTAGAGCACTTGCCTAGCATGCGTGAGGCACTAGGTTCGATCCTCAGCACCACATATAAATAAATGAGTAAAATAAAGGTCCATCAACAATTTTAAAAAAATATCTTTAAAAATACAATGAGGGGGGCTGTGGATGTGGCTCAAGTGGTAGCGCGCTTGCCTGACATGCGTGCGGCCCGGGTTCGATCCTCAGCACCACATACAAACAAAGATATTGTGTCCTCCAAAAACTAAAAAATTAATATTAAAATTCTCTCTCTCTCTCTCTCTCTCAAAAAAATACAATGAGGGGCTGGGGATATAGCTCAGCTGGCAGAGTGCTTGCCTCACACGCACAAGGTCCTGGGTTCAATCCCCATCACCCAAAAAAAAACAATAAAATACATATCTAAATTAGTATAGACCTAAACATTAAAAACTTTAACAGACTGAATAAAGTAGAACTTATTTTCCCCCTATCCTATGTTCGGTTTGGGACCACTTAAAAAGAAACTAATTTTTTTTTTTTAAGAGAGAGAGAGAATTTTAATATTTTTTTTTAGTTTTCGGCAGACACAACATCTTTGTTTGTATATGGTGCTGAGGATCGAACCTGGGCCGCACACATGCCAGGCGAGTGCGCTACCACTTGAGCCACATCCCCAGCCCAAGAAACTAATTTTTGAGGCTTTTAAAATATGGTCTTCTTCAAATTCATAAATATTCCAAAGGATTTTGGGGAAAGCCTGAATTTTAAAAATAAAATAATGCAGATTTTATGAGAATTATATTCAGAAATATCCTAATAGAATTTTGGGGGTTAATTTTTTCCTAACTCATGGTAAATACATACATATTTATATACAAAGTTCACATGCACACTTAATGGTAGGTCTCTCTCCATCTTAACCAAATGTGTTAAAACTGTAAAGTAGATCCTTGTTACCCACGATTGAAACCCAAGGTAAAATCTTCTTAGGGAATTCCAAGGAAAAAAACTGCATTCTTAGCTATCATGTTTAAAACAAATAATAATTTTCTTTCAAGACATTTATTCTCCAAGTATTATACTCTAATAAACCAACTAGATACGTACAAATATATTTAAATTTTAAACTAAATTTGAGGCTGAGGCAGAAGATTATAGTTCGAGGTCAGCCTGGGCAATTTAGCAAAGACCATGTCTCAAAATAAACATTTTTAAAAGGGCTGGAAGTATAGCTCAGAGGTAGAACATTCCTGAGTTCAACTACTAGTGCAAAAATTCTAAATTTAAAAATTATATTAAAAAAGAAACACACCAGATTATAAAAACTATACACATGGATCCTCTTATTAATTTAAGTATACATCTCTCAAAAAGAAACAGAAGACAGGCATGATACATTTGATATATTTTTGCAAAAGCTTATATTTAAACAGTGCCTTTTAGAAAAGATGTAACATTTTTGTAGGGGCTACCAGGGATTGAACCCAGGGAACTTAACCACCAGCCACATCCCCAGCTCTTTTTTTATGTTTTATTTTGAGATAAGGCCTCACTAAATTGCTAAGGCTGGCCTTGAATTTAAAATCCTCCAGCCTCAGCCTTCTGAACTGCTGGGATTTGTGCCAACAAACCCAGAAAGATATAACATTTTTAATCTAAATCTTCCTATAGTCTATCCCACACCACCCAAAAATAAAAACTGCTACCATCACAGCTGCATTTTCACTTTTCTTTTCTATATTCTCTACAAATGTTACAAAAGATAGAAAAAGCAAGTAGGAGGCTTTTTGTATCCATTGCCAGTAAGTATCAATAACAAAATCTCATGAACTTAGTTAACAAAAAATGAGTTAAATTATATTTAAACTAAAATTCTATTCACCATTCCTCACATAAAGTTATCTTTAAATTAAAAAGCAATCTTTACCTGGGCATGGTGGCACACGCCTGCAATTCAAGCTACTCAGGAGGCTGAGGCAGGATTGCAAATTCAAGGCCAGCCTGGGCAACTTA